CTCACCTCAGTCACCTTCAGAAGTCCATTCACGACACTGCAGGCTTCATCCAGAACACACTTCAAAATTCTGCAGGCCTCCCCCCGTTGCTCAGTTCCAAAGCTGCTTCCAGAGAGTTTTAGTTATTTGTGTCGGTAGCACCATACATTCTGGTACTAATGTTCTCTCTCAATCTGTGTGGGCTGCTGTGATAAGGTAGCACAAACTAGGCGGGTAATGAGCTGCAGAAGTGGATTTCTCAGTTCTGGAGGCTGAGAAGTCAAGATCAAGGTGCCAGAAATTCAGAGTTCCTTAAAATCCTGCCTTACAGATGATCATCACTGTAGCCTCACAAGATGCGAGGGATAAGGGTGTGTTATGGTTTGTGTCTAGATGTCCCTCCAAAGCCTCATGCAGTCGTGGGGCGGGCTTCCAGAGTTTCTGATTGGCTCATGGTCCAATGCTGGGATTATGGGTGTGAGCGCTGCACCCACCCTGGGGCAGGCAGCCTGCATACAATGTAAGGGAGGGAAGGAGGCTTGCTCTCTGCTGCCCCCCTGCTCTTGTTGCTTTTGCTGTTTTTGAGGCCATGCACTGTTGCCCTCTGCCATGGGCCGCTCTGCCTTGGAGCCAGCTGAGTATGGACTGAAACCTCCACGAACTGTGAGCTAGATAAACATTTCCTTCCTTAATTCTGGGTGTCAGGTATTTTGTCTCAGCAACGCAAGAAAGCCAACGAACGCTCTTTTATAAAGGCATGAATCCCAGCAGGAGGGGCCACAGGTGGCTGCTACAGCTGGAAGCTCTAACAGGCTCAGCATCCCTGGCGTGGAGTATTGGTTATTAGTCCCAGGGCTGACGGGAGCTGTGCCTGCTGCTGCTGTCCAGCATCACGAGAGAATGTCACACTGCACATCGTTTCAGAATTCAAAATTTAAAGCACAGTTTCTCTTGAATGTGCAGCACAAAGGTGAGAAATGTTTAGTCAACCATCGCAAGTCAGAGATTGTGTGTACGTGAATTTGTGGAGGATATAAGCACTTAGACCATAGTAACCTTAATATTATCTATAACTTTATTAAATATAAAATGCATTAAACTCTCTAATTCAGAGAAAAATATTATTAAACTAGATTAATAAAGCTTTATAATGCCTACCTAGGACATACTATAAAAATAAGAACACAGAAAGGTTTAAAGTTAAACAAATAAAAGTTATACACTACGATAATACTAAAGAAGCCATGTAGGCATAATAATATCAAAGAAGTAAGTTACATGCAGCAAAAAGCAGTAAGTGAACTAAGGATCTTATATTCATGAAAGAATCCATTGGAAAATACAGCCATCTAAAATTGTAGACACTTGATAAAACAGGGTCAAATTAGATAGTCAAAATTGAAAGAACTAAAAATATAAGTAGATAAATCTACAATTATTGATTGAGATTAGCACAGTACTTTCAGTAACTGATAAAACAGAAAAACATATAATAGTGAGATTTGAACAACGTAAGTAATAAATGTATGTGGCTAGTTGACATACGTAGTATTTTGCACTCAACAAAATGCAGAACCTACATTATTTTCCAATCTATATCTATATCTATATCTAATCTATATCTCTATTTATCTATCTACCTATCTATATTTTTTTGGTTACCAGGATTTGAACTCAGGACCTTGCCCTTGCCAAGCAGGTGCTGTGCTGCGGAGCTATATCCCCACTCCTTTCCAGTATATTTGAAATAATTAGAAAAAGATCTATTGGGAAGTAAATTTCAACCAATTCTTTTTGTCACCTTGTGTTAAATCTTTTATTTTACAATGTCTTTTTGAAATTCTGTATCATTGTTTTTATTTTTTTTTCTCTTTAAAATAAAGAAATAAATTTGCAGAGGAGGTTCTGTGAGGAATTATAAGAGCTGACTTACAGAAAGTAAGAGAACGACTTCCAGGAAAATGCAGGGTTTCAACAGTTGAGAGGTCAACCTGTTCTTGAGAATCAAAATTATATTGAACGTGTTCTCTGTCTACCATGTAACTAAGCTGAAAATGAGTAACGAAAAATAGAAAATCTCCAAATGTTCAAAACTATCAACTGTATGTGTATATATTTACATTCAAAACATACATACACACAGATATATGTGAATGTAAATACATGTGCTAAATATTAATCTTTTTTTGTTTTTCTCCGCATTGCTGGTGTTTCTTTATATCATGTTCCTTATGGACACGGTCTGTGAATTTCCTGTCATTTTTTCACTCAAAGCATGAAAATGCAGGAGAATCAAATTTGTGTAAAGAGTAGGTTAAAGAAAGCATTTGTGTTTCTGGTCCTATGGGCATCTTCCTCTGAAGACTTGGGATCTTTTTCTCAGTATCTCAGACCCTCTCTTCTCAAATGCATTATAAAGGAACAGACGTGCACTGTATCTGAGGTTTGCCTGCTTTGGGGACAGGAGGTTTATTAGAAGGTAGAACCCAGTGTTTTCTTTTACCGGCTCTCCCAAAAGGAAGGCAGAGGGGGTAAACAGGAATGGGAGAGAACCAGCGTTTAGTTTATTTCTTTCACTCTTCAAAGGAGCTGCAAGGTGCTCTAGACGATTCCCCTTTCTAGAGAAAGCAGCTGAGGTCCAGCAGTGATAATGGTGTCCCAGGCTTTGCTTTCCTTCCCTTAGCAACCCCAGGTCTTGACTACAGGGAGTTCTCATTAGTGGGAGAAGCAGGGACGCGTGTTTGAGAAGGAGAATGCATTGAAGGATATGCGACATTTTCAGAAATACTCATGACAGTGCCCTGAAAAGCCTTCAGAATGGTTTGTCTGTTTATTAGTCAAGCCTTTACATGTATTTTTGGAAACAGGAAAGTAGCCGAAATTGTCAGCCGTTATTTGACACGAACGATCTTTTAACTTTTAAAGACGAGAATATTAGAAAACAAGTTATTTGCATTTAAAAAACTGCATTCGCTCTCCCCTTGTGTGTAGCACTACGGTATGCATGCAACTTCAAATTCCAAATTTCATTCTCCCATTTGGGGCACGCCGTGTAAGACATGGAGTGGAAGTCTCAGCTGCTTTATTGTCCTTTAGAGACAGATTACCAACACCTTCACCTTCGTTAAATTTAACTGCTAACAGGAAGCTTTTGATTATTTCAGATGGAGTGACGTTACACGCCTGGAAGGAAGAAAAGAACCCCTTATATTTGGAGGCACGCTGTGTCCTCTCCAAGGCTGCTCCACGAGCGGTGGGGGCCGGCGGGTGAGCGGGGCGCGGGCGCGGGCGCGGCTGCGCGGTCCCCGCTCTTCCAGGCGCGCAGGAGGGACGCGCGGATGCGCCGGCTGCCGCCCCGGGGAGGAGGACGCCAGGCCCGCGGGCTAGCGAGTCCCTGCCGCAGCTGGCCACCTCCTGTCCCGACCTCCAGCGAAAGCAGACCTTTTCCTGCAGCCGGCCAGGTAAGGGAAAGATTGCCGTCCGCCGGCTGGCACCGAGGGCGCGCGAGCCTGGGGGTACTGAGTTTGTCTCTGGAACTGGTGGGGTGACCCGCGAGCGCCAAGAGCGCCCTACCCGGGGGTAACTGGCTTGCACGTTTGCTGTCAGGAGGAAGGACGGCTGTCTGCAGCACTTCGATGTATTGCGCTGCTTGGAAAGGACGTCAACAGGTAGCGCAAAAAAAAAGGACGTCAACAGGTAGCGCAAGGCAAAAACAAAAAAGTAATAGCAGGGGGTGGTGGCGCACGCCTGTAACCCCAGCACTCAGGAGGCTGAGGCAGGAGGATCGTTGTGAGTTCGAGGCTACAAAGTGAGCTCAAGGCCAGCCTGAACTGCATAGCTAGACCCTGTCCAAAAAAAAAAAAAAAAAAGAAAAAATCTATTTATTTCAGTAAAATGCACATTGGTAATAATTTCCCTCCAAACACTTCCCTTTGCTTCAAACGCACTTATCCCATCTTTCTTGACACTTTCTGAACCCATTCTGGAGTTCCTCTTTCATGAGTGTCTTTACGGGATGTGATCACATTTATCAGTGATGCTGCTCCTAAGTGTCATCCCATGGAAAGGCAAGCTCCTAAAAAGGTTATGTCCTCATCCACCTATTCACTGGATTTGCTACTGCAGTAGCAAAGTGAATACTAAAGGTAAACATTAATTGATTCAGAACATCCAGGCAGCCAGTACAGTGCAAGTAAGGACTCTCACAAAAGAGGCTTTCCAGAACTGTTTCAGAAAGTGGTAATAATGTTGGGGTGAGTGTGTTGGAAACAGGAATTATAGCAATGTGCCTTTTACTGTAATGCATTTTAAAAAATTGAACATTTTCCATTCTTTCAATCTCACCTTTTATTATTAATAAATATCTTTCTGGATCTGGTAAAGAATAAGATAACTAACATGCCACAAACTTCACTTTTAGAGCCCGTTTAATCCTCCAGCCCTGTGAACTAGTGTTACCTTTTCCATTTACAAAGACTATCACAGAGATGGACCGCAAATTATAAATTGACATAGAATCTGTCAGAGGCCCTCCTTGTCCTGCCCTGTGGGCTGGTTTTAGAATGTGGAAATCCCACTTCCTCTCAGTCACTGCTGAGATCTTTTTTTTTTTTGTCTTTTTGAGACAGGGTCTCACTATGCAGTTCAGGCTGGTCTTGAACTTACTTTGTAGCTCAGGCTGGCCTCAAACTCACAATGATCCTCCTGCCTCAGCCTCCTGAATGCTGGGATTACAGGTATGCGCCACCACGCCCAGCTGCTGCTGAGATCTTGATCAATGAAACTGTGAGGCTCACAGAGCAGGATGAATTCTGCTGAGGACAACACGGGGAAAACAGGTGTAAGGATGAATCTTAGCTTGTTTCTTTCATGATGTTATATCTGCCCATTCAACCACTACTTCTACAGTGTTCCAAGTAAA